AGCTGAACTTCAAATGAACGCACGACCGTTTTAGTAAAGAAAAATGAGAAGAAGCAGATCGGGAGAAGAAACTAAAATGTAGTTCCTTTCTAAACTTCACAAGCATCGACATCTTTTTACTAAAGAGTGAAAAAATATAAAGATAACCCATTTATCGAAAGGAAAGGACGCGAGCACTTACCTTTTCAGTCAGTCTCCCATTATTAAAATGAAATCATCGAAGAAAAGGATTACAAATCGATGTAGGAAAGCTTAGGAAAAAAATAAAAGTCCTGGCCGCAGTTGTTCGAAAGGTGGATAACGCTATCCAACGTTTGAACAACCGGGGCCAGTTCTTGCAGTTCTCTGCAGTTCAATGGATACACGTCATCTCTATCTTTGTTGTGATTGAACGAATGAAGAGAGTTTGGCAGCCGCGTTCAGAAATTCGCGCCAAAACCATCAAAACATGGGTGCTAGGATCCAGTCTTTCATCATCCCGTCCGAGTGCGGCCATCGTGGTTTCTGAACGTTCGGATCGATCTAGATCTTTGAGATCTTTGTGCATATGCTGATTTTTTTTCACCGGTTAATTTAACAAACAAAATATGAGGGACAAGCATGAGATCTAAACTAAGGTCAGAGTAAAGGAAACTGCTTGAGCTTCGTACATTATATAGCCTTGAGTTCGCAAGTGAAGATCGAAGTCGGTCTCTGTTTATCGATATTTACCTGTCGTTCTACAGAAGCAGAAGCTCATGCAATGCTGAATGGAAGAATGAAGTACGTTACAGTGTGAACGCACAGCTGTTGTTTTGGTCATTTTAATCACACTTCACAATTTTTCTTGCTCTTTTTGATTTAAACTTAAGCTTCGATGCATGCACGAATGCGTGCAAGTGATTTAGGGACCGATCGTTTCTTATGTGTGTTTCTATCAAATTCTGTGATGGTCCTTAGCAATGTCAATTTCATTTGCAGACTTGCTAATAGAATCGAGAAGGACTAAACTGAATTTGCTTTTTAACTGACATTGAAGGGAACTGATACTTTTAATTTACATCCGTTTTGAGATGTTTTGCACAATTTATTTTAAATTACAGTTACATGTAATTAATGTTTCCATTAAGAAAGAGCAGTAGCTAGTACAATGTTATGTCTTTTAATGGTCATTTATACTGCTGCAGTAGATTTGAAGTATACTTATTTCCCACTGCAAAAGAAGGAAGAATAGTACTTTAAATAAAGCACTGTTAGTTATACTGCTGTAGTAGATTTGAAGTATACTTATTTCGTGCTGCAAAAGAAAGAAAAGCACTCCTACATCAAAAGTATACTCTAAGTATACCCTTCAAATTATACTTAGAGTGTACTGCAATAATTATTCATGCAGTACATTAGGGGTATACTGGAAGTATACTTATCATCAGTAATTGCTGATACCGTATACTCTGAGTATACTGGAAGTATACTTCTCTACCAAAATTTTTTGTAAGGGGAGTTCTCTCAACCTATGAAAGCCAGGGTGTCCAACATATTTATCATTTCATGAAAAAACTAAGATTTCTGCAGCCACTTAGCCTGCGTTTGCAGTTTAGACCTGTCAAAATTCACAGAAGGAGCTTGGCAAAGATTGCTTATAGTAAACAGTGAAAGAGGAGTTCAAACTGGAAAGCCTTCTCTCTGAACAGAAAAATTAATTGTTAGGGAAAAATTTGCTGACTGGTTTTCCAGTGTCTTCTGATGCACCGTGGTGTATTCTGCAATCTAGCCTTCATTTCCAGCACGAAAACAATTAATGGGACATAATGATATTCACCAACAAAAAGTTACATCATTTTGTACACACATGCAGGTATTCATGCAGGTCCAAGCTAAGCATTTCAGTGTAAACCAAAGAAACTAAGGTTATTTAGCCGCAATAAAAGTCTAAGGCTTTAACAGAGGTAAAAGAAAACCAGTAAACTGTATTTGAGATCAAATGCTATATCAGAAAACATCTACATCAGAAACATGTACTGCCTGGGTGTTTGTCAGCTATGAAAATTAAAGATGCTGCATGAAGGATTCTTTGTCCAGTGCTAGATTGTGCAATTTGCACTTTGCATGACTTTGCTTGATTGACAAGTGTGTTCTCTATATTTTTATCCTCCTTTCTTTGAATATGTATCTTTACACAATCTGCTCTCCCCTGAACCCTAGCTTGCCTGCATTTCAACTTGATGCTGATTTTTAAGTGTGTACCCCAAATTTTGGGGTCATAAGTATTCATATATTCAGGCTATTGTTCTTTTCCTTGTCAATTACCTTCCAAAGAATCCACGAGTGGAATTCCTTTGATTTAGGTGCAATATCTTTCTTTTGTTTCCTATTTTGTTGCTTCATTGACTTTTAATCCCCATTGTTACTTGATGGGTATTAAATTTCTCCATTAAATACTCAGACTTGCCTGTTAGATTTGCGGCATTTGCGGGGATGCTTACAAGTCCTCTAAGCTAAGCGTGGTGGCGAAGTCTGGTTGTGGTAACATATTTTTGGTCATGCACCCTATTACAAAGTAAACAAAACTGATAAATTTGAAGTTGATTAAAGCTTCTAAATACCTGATCTCCAGTAGTATTTTTTTTATTTGATACTCCCTGCCTTGAAAATAATTTTGCATTTAAAGCTTTTCTGCAGAAGGTATTTATTAGGACTTTTTTATTCATTCAATATTGTCGTAATTTCACCTTTTTACAGTTTTGGTTTGCTTAACTTTCATTTGTTTTTTGTTAAACGAAACCTTGCATTTTAGTTACGTGACTGCAGGGCCCGAAATAACCGCGTATGGTTAGCCTCCACGCAGACGTCCTGTGGGTTTCATTTGTCACGCATTCATTTCTTTCCCAGAGAAATTATGAATTAGAATGTGTGACGAACAAACCCCACGGGACGTCTGCGGGGAGGCTATGTATGGTCAGTTCACAACAACTTGCATGATAACTTGATTCTGACTCATGAGACCGGAAACATCTAAAATCAAAACAAGAGCTGAAATCAATAGATCAAAACTTGCAGAGTTCATAATTCCTTGAAATAAATTTTGTAGAAAGGCTTGTAAAGTCAGATTACTCTGGAGAAATGAATAACTGTTATTAGTAAAATCCAACTACAGTGGTCTATTACCAATGTTGTGTTCTGATTGGCTGAGCTACTACTAGGCTATATGTTATAGCCCACTAGTAGCGAAAAGCACCAGCCTTGAAATTAAACCACAACAATGGCTTTATTAAAGTTAGGCTTTAACTGACTGAAGTTGTTTTGTCTTGATATTTGTGATCAACTAGTTGGATTTTACTAAAACAATTTTTTATTATTCCTCTCACCCTCATGGGCTGTTGACTCAGAGCCCCTTCGGACTTGAGGAATAATTGTTACTGAATGAATGAAAGGAGAACTCTTGGCCATAAGCTTTAAGTCGGTCTTGATAGGTGACAAAAAATTCTTAAGCGGCTTGCTTTGTACTTTGAAACCCTCGCAAGAGAAATAATCCAACCTTGGTCCACAGTGGTCGAAATTTCTCGTTCAAGATCTCTTTTTGAGGCTCTCAAAACTCTCCATTTGAAAAATATGTATCCAAGTTGAAGAAGTTTTGCAAAAGACTTAAATCCATAAACTTCCACCACAATATGTGCAATAAATTATTCTCTGCAGTTTTATTGACGCTTTTAGAACAAAAGGATACATTTATATCTTCGCTGCCCAGGACAGCTTAATTAGCCATTCTTCCATTCCTTTGAATTAGCTTCTGAGTCTTACCTTATTTTAACTGAGTCAAAATGAGTACTCTCAAAGGAAATATCCGAAGGAGCCTTCATTGA